AGTATCGGGGACACTCTCGAGTCCCTTTGAATCTTGAAGGGGGTTACGGCCAGGTGATGGACTTTCGTGTCTGCTGTTCAACATCGCGTTAGAAGGTGTGATCAGAAGAGCTGGGATAGGCACGAGTGGCACGATCTTCAGGAAGTCCATCCAGCTTCTTGACTTCGCCGATGACATTGTCATCATGGCACGGAACTTTGAGACGATGGCGGAAACGTACATCAGACTGAAGGCTGAAGCTAGGCGGATTGGATTGGCCATCAACGCATCGAAGACGAAATACATGAAAGAAAGAGGTTCTAGGGAAGACACTGTTAGCCTCTCACCCCGAGTTCAGATTGACGGTGACGAAATCGAGGTGGTCGATGAGTTCGTGTATTTGGGCTCACTGGTGACCGCCGAAAATGATACCAGCAGAGAAATTCAAAGACGCATTATGGCAGGGAATCGTGCCTACTTTCGACTCCGGAGGACGCTCCGGTCGAATAAAATTCACCGTCGCACGAAGTTGACTGTCTACAAGCCACTGATTAGACCGGTGGTCCTCTACGGCCACGATACCTGGACTATGCTCGTGGAGGACCAACGCGCCTTGGTGTTTTCGGTTTTGGTGCAGATGGATGACGGAACGTGGAGGAGGCGAATGAACCACGAATTGCACCAGCTGCTGCGAGAACCATCCATCGTCCACATTGCAACAATTGGACGACTACGTTGGGCTGGGCATATCGTAAGAATGAACAAGAAGAAGAGGCGCGCAGAGGTGGATCGACCAAGTAGAAGGCGACCTGCGGACCCTTCGCAGACTACGAGGCTGGCGAAGTGTGGCCATGGACAGGGATGGAAAATCATTTACATTCATTTCGTGTATTCATTTACATTCATTTGCCTCTAACTTTTTTCAAAAGCTTTATACATCATTTAACGGTATTCTGTTGATGAAAAAAGTTAGAGGCAAATGAATGTAAATGAATGCACGAAATGAATGTAAATGATTTTCCATCCCTGGCCATGGATCGAGTAGAGTGGAGACGACTTCTTCGCACGAAACGAAAATCAATTATTTTATTCATGTTTTTCACTTATACATTTTTGCCAAAACATCAGCCTGCAATGCATAAAAGGTATGTGTGACCGCTTATACATTTCATTCGACACATGATCTTCATTAACTGTTTGCAAGGCGTCTGCTTATAAGTTGACTTATACATTTTATGAATAATCAGCAATAGAAATTTGCCAAAAGGTATAAGGAGATTTCTATCCGTGCGGACAGCAGAGGACAACAAGACCTTAGCCTGATTGGTAAGTAAGGTATTGACCTTCCAGACATAAGTACAGTCAGCTGCTCTCTAGACCGAAAATAGTTTTCATGTTGCTTCCATTGGAAACGCAAATGATGTTTATCCATAAACAAAATTAATGGAATTCATCTGAATTTCACATAACATTTATGCGATCACGTTCATTTTATATGATTTTTCATATGAAGTTCATCGGCCTCATAATATTCATGTGATTTTGTGGTGGGATTTTTAGCTATGTGATCACATGAAAGCTTTGTGAAATTCACATGGTTTTCATCCATCAGATATGTGATAAATTTTTTAAGTGTATATTAATACTAGACTTACATTTGAAAAGGGCGGAATTCCAAAATCATGATTTCGAGAAAATCGCTTCCGAATTTAGATGGACTACAAATTATTCCCATTTGCTGGATGATTTTATTAGCTTGACATATAGTTAATAGTGTAATCTATAGTGATAATGATTATAATCATGCATCACTAAAACTAAAAAAAAAATTTCTTTGTGATGAAATTGAGAAGAAAACATCATACGCCCCGATAATTTCTTACATGTTGTTACCCCCCGGATCTACCACCCTTTGACCTGCCAACACTGGTGATACGCCGTGGAAATACACCCTCGGGATTTTTGGTTTGTTGTTCCGCCTTGGTTCTTCGTTCGCAAATTTTGTGAGAGTGGAATTACGCCCGGAGATTTTTTTTTGGTCTTCTTTTTGTTCGTTGTTTACACGTGAAATATCAATCGGATGCATTTCAAATGAATCGGGCGTGACTAGATAGGCTACAGAATCAGTACGTTTGGCATATTAAAACAATCATACGCCTTCGTTTTTGATGATTTGAAATGATTACTCTTTTCGTGTTTATCAAGTAGTTTGTGAACTACTCTATGTGTGGTAAAATATGGTTTGTTTACATTTTGGCTCTACTGCCCCTTTCAAATGTTAGTCTAGAATAACGGGTTTTAGCTCTAGGCTACGATTGTGATTACGGAGCAGTAGGGTGCCATGCATCCGGAAGGCATGACATTTCTACCGAGGATAAAGAGCGATTAGATTTCTTGGAGGAACATTTTCTTCATATCACAATTAGTGATGTATGGAATGTGGAATTGATTGAGAGCCCGAGCAAAGTCTGAGATCAAATTGAAAACTAAATTTGATGTTGTGATTTCGCTGATAATGATTACTCAGGTTGCTGTTGTTTTGGTCGTTCTAACGGTTAAAATTTCAAAATTGAAAGCAAAAAAATCTTTCTGTGATATCACATTGAAAACTATATCTGCTATCAGTGAGAGCAAACTGAAAACTCAATTTGATGTCCGTTTTTCCAGTTGATAACAAAACAAGTATTCAATTTGATGTTATGCTAAAGCAATGAAAACAAACCCGCAACAACATATTTTGGAAGAGCAAATATACAGCAAAATGAAAACAAAATTTGGTATCATATTTGTCAATTGCGTAAACTGAAATCAAATTATGATTATAGTTTGATGTTGACATCAAAACTTGGTTTCGATTTGCTGTCATTTTGATGCTAGACTTTGCTCGGGTTGATACCAAATTTTGTTTTCAATTTGCTGTACATTTACGCTTTAAAAGTATGTTGTTGCGGATTTGTTTTCATTATCTTAGCATAACATCAAATTGAATATGTACTTGTTTTGTTATCAACAGGAAACAAAAAGAGTTCTAAATAACTCATTCAAATTTCAAACTATTTCCAGCTTACACATTCCATATAATTTTGTAGCATCGTGGCCATCTCAATCCAAAAAACATCCAACCACCAACCTCAATCTAATCATTGTCCCTTCCCATGGCGATCATGTAGCCTGCATGTGGCGAGTCAGCCATTACCCCTCCTTTACTATCGGCCTTGGATTGACTTGCGCTCTTACTGCCCCACCCTGCGCTGCAAAATGAAAATGAAAATGAAAGTTTGATCAGCTGAGTTATGAATTCTATTGTTATGACGTATGAATTGAAAATTTCCATACTACTTCCTTGTGGCGGAAAATAATAGGTGGTTCTTATGGAATTCTTAAGCTGTTTTACCTCAGTGTAGAAAAACAGCATGTGTTTATGTAATATTTCAAAAGTATGTATCAAATTATAGAGTTAATCATTAAAACCTCAAATGTGCCGAAAAGTCACATGGGACAGATATGCGTCCATCGGCAGATTAGGTCACTTAACATTCATGGCGACTGGAAGCGATAGTAACGATTAGGTATACCTACTTGAAACTGTAACGGGGGAAACAGTAGGCTGTGGAGTTTTGACGAGAAAAGTTGTTTATTTTATCAAGATAAACAACTTTGCCTATGTCGTCAAGTAATCAAAACGCCATTTTAATGCATTAAAAAAAGTTATAGAAAAAAATACATGTTCCACTAAAATGATGAAATCTCAAAAACACCAAAATATACCTCTCTCAAATTTTGATATTTTGTTTATCGAGTATTGCTTAATTTTTGCTGAAAATGTCAGGTTGCGATTTTTTTGCGCTTTTGGAGATATTAAAGTTCAAAAATGGTTGTTTTTTTCGGTTTTTAACAATATCTTTAAAATTTGAAGCTTTAACCAGTATTTTTCTTCACAAAAGTTATTAATTTAATGCATTTGCGTAAGAGAAAAATATAACATTGTATGGTTGTCAGCAAAAAACCCGAAACAGAAAGAAAAAAGCATATTTTCGACATTTTTTTCTTTAACTCCATATAACTCGGAATCAGTAGGCTGTGGAAATTTGAGTTGTATTTTGTCAAGGCAAACAACTTTGCCGAATACATCAAGTCTCCAAATCGTCAGAGAAAGAAGTTATATTGTGGCGCCATCTTTGCGGAAGAGTTTTGAACTATTTGTTTATATCAATAGATGGTTCTTATTATGATGAAAAACTTTGCCCAAGACACCAAGTCGCGGAAATTCTTCGTTTCGGAGTTATTAATTTTGCTCCGCTAGATTGCATTTCTGGCCCAGTGTGCACTGTGCGGAGTGACCATCTCCTTGACGGATTGCCATTGACTTCTTAGAAGGTCTCAGTAAAGACTCAGTTTTATAAATCTGAAAAAAGTGTTCACCTTTCCCCACCCGAAAATTTTAAAAGCAGAGGTGTGACAGTGACAGGTACTCTATGTTGCAGTCTGTGAAAGGGATTTCTAGGTTTTTTCGCCTGCACTGTCCTCTGTGAACAACTAACGGAAATCAATTTATAAGTAATTTCCGGTAGATGTCACCGCAATCAACAACAGCATAGTTGTAATTTCCATATAAACTTCATAAGGTTTGTGCCAAGTCAGTTTATTAATAAATTAGTTCAAATTTTGGGAGGCTAATCCTCGGGCTAATCAGGACCCAATTTGGAACCGTTTGAGCACCGTGGGAGCGAAAATTTCCAATTTTGCATCAGCCAAATGAACACCTAAACTTTAAAGCCCTACAGTAAAAGCATGGACGTCTGTCAAAAGTTGTTCCAATCGACCCGTCAAAATTCACCGCTTTCCTCGATTGGAACAGCTTTTTCCAGTTTTGTGGTGACAGTCGTCCATACTTTAACTAGAGGGTAAATTAACCTAGCATGACACTCTGGCCCATAATTCCCCTAATTCTTCACGCCTCGCAATTTTTTCTTGATATCCAATTAATACCCATGTGTCTGTTTTTCTGCCATTCTTTTCAGATCTCATCCACTTACATCCCTCCTTCGTATAGGACGTTCAACAGGAACAAGACTTGTGCGCGTTTAGGTCTTTAGTTAGCATAGCTAGTTAGTTCGGTTAAGTTCACAAATCGCAGGCCATTATGCATTTCAAGGAAGTCTGCAACCGACGGTGTATTCTGACATCGGGTGGCATCATTCTGGTGGCGTTCGGAATATTCTTCACCTTCTGCTTCCACAACGTCTTTCGGGACATCCTATATGAGGTAGGTTCATTGAATTCATTACGTTAGTGCACCGATTCCCAACGTACCTACACTGAGTAGGTGAAGGTAAGGTTGGAAATCGACGTGATTCACTAGAACATTCGCAAGATGAGACGGCAACCGTCAGCTTTAATTATCGGCTGTGACACTGATAAATTAACCCCTATCAATGAATGGCCAAGTGTGTCACACTGTGTGTCTACTATTAAACGATATACATCTGATCTCACATTCGAATAGGAACTGAAACTCCGTCCCGCGTCCCGGGGGTACGACGCATGGGTCACACCGCCGTTTCCACTGTCGATGGATGTGTATTTCTTCAATTGGACCAATCCGGAGGATTTGAAGAACCACAGCACCAAGCCCATTCTGGAGGAACTGGGTCCGTATCGGTTTACGGAGCGACCCGAAAAGGTGGACATCGTGTGGCACGATGAAAACGCGACGGTTAGCTACAGGAAAAAGAGCGTCTACTTCTTCGACGAAGAAGGAAGCAACGGCTCGCTGGACGATGTGATTAGCAGTATCAACGTCGTGGCTTTGGTGAGTACCCATCCAGAATGTTCACTAATTGAGGTTTCGTTCCGGTCCAGAGTGTGTCCTACCCTTGGAATTCCAATTGATGAATGTGTAAGATTTTTTTTCTCATGTCATGAAGATGATCGCGATCATGACTTGCATGTTGTTTGGGCCGGTCAAATTCCGCTGGATTTGTTTGGTTACGCCTTAGTCATTGAGCCCCAATGACGTCGAAGTCGTAAATATAGAGAAATAAAACAAGCTGCCACATCACCGCTCTAATAGCGAATTCGTTTATTATCGGAGTTGGATCGAAACCGAACTTTTTGTCCTCAACCAGAAGTAGGTTTTAAAAACAATCGCTCAAGCTGACGTTTGTCAGAAAATAAGCAGACCCGGTCCAGGAAATGAATCATAAACGAATTCGCTATGAATTAGGTGCCGAAAGTAAAAATTCCATTGGGAAACCATCCTTATGACGACGAACATAGGCCAAAAGAACGCTGTGGCATTTCGCGGAAGCACTCGGGCTGTGCGTTGTTCTTGCGTCACTCGTGTCAACAACACTTGAGCGACATTGGGCAGAGCTCTGTCTATCTACACCCGCCTACCTGGTGCCTGGCGAATCTTTGGGTGGTGTTTGCGGTGTTTGTTATTGTCATCATCGGTTTTTTGTTTGTTCCTATTCGTCACATCGAATACAGATTTTTGTACACGAAAAAAGTTGGGACTCCCTTGTTTATTTCGTTACCGTAAGGTACTGTTACAAGTTTTACCTTAAGGAATTAAAATAAATAAACGGGGTTCCAACTTTTGTCGTGTACATACATCTGTGTTCGTGGCATCGTTGATTCGCCACATGTTAGCAGATTACGTTTTTGCCTAATTAACAAGTGAGTTAACAGGTTGCTGCAGCTTACTTACGTGTCGTTGTGGTATTGATAGTTTTGTTTTTGATCAAAGTAGGTACCTATAAAGATTACAGCTTTTGGGGAAGATAGGTATCATGTAATGGGAATCGTGCGATTATTTTTTTATCTTTCATTACCATTAACGACTTTCAGTAAAATTAATTGTTTTATAGAAAAGTTAGAAATACAGAGTAGCAAAGCACACATGATCGGAAGAATACATACGTATGATTTCTCAAGATCTGTGTCCGCAAATTTTCTCAAACACATGTGTCCTTCCGATCATGTGTGCTTTGCTTCTCGGTATCTTCTAAATTTTCCATTAATCAATTATATCTAATGCTAATTTACTGTCCCTGGAATTATTTTACTACCCGGGTAGCCGGTTTTGAGGTGGTTTTGACCTTTATGGGTGGAGAACGACCAAAGGAGACAGCAAAGCGACGAAATGTTTCAGAATTGAATGTGAAAAAAGCAATCAACAATCGCAGGATATCCTATGGGGTGTTTACATCTGTGCGGATTTGCTAGCGCTAGTGTACTAACCAACTAGCGCGAATGTCAGTTGCTCCTAAAATCTCATGCTGGTAGACGCTGATGCCCTGTTTACATTATTCTACTGAGCTGTTTTGCTAGCAGCTAGCCTATAAGCGCTAGTGAAATAGCACGAAATAGCATAAGTGTAAACACCCCATTAACAATGTGTTTATTCGCGGACAAGTAAAAAGTATTTGGGGTCATGTGGCAGTTTGGCCACCTTGAGAAAATCATCACTAATGATACCAAATTCAGCGAAAAATTCGAATGATTTTCAACGAGATACAGTCAACTCTCCATAACTCGATAATTGAAGGGACCATTCGATAATTCTATATCGATCTATAGAATTGATAATATTTTTTATTTGTTCTAGCTTAATATCTGTTTCTATTTATCCATATGAATTCGGAAATGGGTTCCAACCATTTATGGAAGTCTTGAGTAGTTAATTCCATATTTTAAGCCAATATGAACAAAAACAGGTATATAGGACTGTCTATTTTATTTAATTAAATTTAACTACAATCAGAAACGATTAAATAGGAATGAGATTTCATTTATCGCACAGCGGGTGTTACTTCAAGAATGTTTTTGATCACTTCTCTGGCACTTTGTGGCACTCTCGTCTTCATTTTGATGAAGAGTTTTATTTTCCGCAGACATTTTGACATGTTTTGTGAATACTTTTGAGGACATATGAAGACACTTGAGGACATATGAAGTATGAAATAGATTTTGGATTCATATTTTAAGCAGCTTCTAAAAAAATGGTTATTATGAGGAAGAGTGTAACCAGGTTTCCAAATAGAGGGAGCACAATCTCGAATGAAGAAATCATATTTCAAAGGAGGAGAAATCTGTTGTCTGTGTGTCTATTTATCAATTTTATCTAGATGAACGCGTCAACGCGTCGGTACTAATGGATATTTTTGGTAGCTATTGTAAATTTAGTCGATTACTGAATTTCTGTATGGGCCTGAATTAGGGGCATTTAGGCCAGCATCCTAGTAAAAAAAGTCTGAAATTTAAATTGTGTACATATTTCGAAATATCGTGAGATTTAAAACAACTCAGATCTCCGAAATTCTAATGCCCAAGAGTTTCAAAGAAATGTTTGAGTTCAGCATCTTAAAAATTTTTAAAATACAAGATCCCTAAAATGCTAAATCTTAGTCATTTGTTTTATTTTAAATTAGCGATGTTAAAAAGTCCAGCATTTAGAATGAATCCATCTTCGAGATATTTATATAAGATCTCAAATTTTATAAGTTAAATCTTATCTGAAGCATCAGAGTCCTAATTTTTTCCAAGTCAGATTTATCTTAGAATCTTCCACAGGATTTGTTTAAGAATGTCTTTTAAAATAATCTAAGAAATCCATCTTGCGACTCCAATTTTCGTCGATTTCGTGCAATCGCACAAAGTAATACCACCATTGGACAGAGAAGACCATCTCCAATCTATTGGTAATGTCGAATGGAATTATTGAGTTTTTGTTTGCGAGAAATTTACGATCCAAGTGAGGAGGGTCGACTGCGGATAATCGAGTCCGAGCTGCTGATTATCTCCATAACACTCTAAAAGTAATCTAAAGAATTCTCCTGAAATTTGAAAAAAAATGTAACAAATTCTCCTCAGTATTCTTCTGATTCTTTTGGAATTTTCCTCAGCATTTTAATAGTATGCCCACAAAACTTCGATGGAATTATTCCTTAAATTATTTTTGAAATCTTCTAAGAAATTCCTCAAAAAAAAAAGCTCTAGAACCCTCATGAAATTCCATGATTTCCACGAATTCCATGAAACTTTCATAGGAATTGCATTGGAGTATTCCATGAAATTCCTTTCAGGCTCTCCTTGGAAATATCCACAGGATTTCATTGGAATGCACATTAAATTTATTTTGCATTTATCCGCAGAAGTTCCGCCAAATTCTCCTCATAATTCTCCTGAAATTAAAGCCAGAACTACCATGGAATTTTCTTCAGGATTCTGTAACTCTCTTCACAATTCCTAGCGATTATTCCTAGGCATTCACTAAGTTTTCTCCTCTTCTCTCCTGAAATCATACTCCGATCTCCCGTTGAATTTCTTCTCAGAATTCAATAGACCTTTTTAATGCACCACCAACGTAGAGAGCACCACGTGAGTTCGAGAGGAAACGTCAACCAAACCGTTTGTTTACATCAGAAGAAGGATTTTTCACAACGCAAATTAAAGCATTTTGCCATCTTCCATCAGTAATTGTCTTATTTTACGATTTTCCACAAATCTGAATTGATTTGCACCTAAACCACCGACAAACCGACTTGAAACTTAAACTTAACTCTTGATCGCGAATCCATAACGGCCGACTCAAATGTGCAGCGATCCCATCTGTCAAAACCATAGAAATGTTTTATCTAGATAAAAATAATTTGTCCGAAATAGATTAGACACGAGCCAACTCATAAATTTTGAACGCGTGTTCGTGGCTAGGATAAATATTTTCCGCGAACACGGCGGCAGATGTCAGTTTTGTGCTTTGATCAGAAATTTCTTTGTAATTTGTATGATCATTCATGTCGGTTTGTCGGTGCCTAAAATATTCACTCACAAGAAATCCGAAAGATCATAACCACTAAGGCACTATTGGAATTTTGCATTTTTCTCATCAAAAATATTGCTGAACACTAGCAGGATCCTTCCAAAAATGATACAGAATTAAATTTTTCAACTAAAGATCGAGTTTTCAAGCATCTCAGATGAACCAATTTATCAGGAAAAGTGAAAAAGTGTTCCGCTTCCAATGTCTCACGGCAAAAAATTCTACTCACAACACTCTTTTTTAAGTTCTCATATCCACCACCAGAGGTTGAATCGATCGCTTAGTTTCTATTCAAAATACGTATTCGAATGCTCTAAGAATACTACTCAAAAATTGAATTGCAGCTCTTCTTCAGAAATCAAAAGGTCCGCACTTTCTGCGATTATGAATAAACTAATTTCAAATTTGGGTCGTTCTCATTCGCCGTGTAGAACTTTTTGACGTTTAATCGGCGCACACGAATGCCCCATTTAAATTGAAGGAATGCGAGCAAGAGGGAAACAGATTAGTGGGAAAACAAACTGTCATGACTGGATTCATGTGGGTTCTCTGAACTAGAAATATTGGCGTTGACGGCACCGCCGAAAAATCGTCTCTTCAAGCCAAGATTGACAGTTACTTATAAGAATTTTCAGTGGAGTGAAAGGATAGTACGAAGTCCGCCATCTTTCACGCACAGTCTGACATTTGCTTATGGATTTTACCATTGGAGTAAAGAGCTACAGAGTCGCCGTCAACGCCAATTCAGAGGGAGAGATGGCGGAGATAATGTTTTGAGCCAAATAAATTGTCAAATTTGATCACATGCGTAGTAGAAATTCTGCTTATCGACCGGGATTTTCGTTAGTCAAAGCTCTCCACCAGATCCCGACACGTTCTCACCATATGCGAGTCAAATAAGTTCAACCCGCTGTCCTCATATTTGGTGGTAGTATCGATACAGCGCTACCAATCTGATAAAGCTTGCGCTGTTTCAAAGCGTTGAG